CATGAACAGAGAGTATAATGTATTTGGGAGGGACGATAGCTCAGTTCTAGAGTGCACATCTTGTATTCAAAAAGGTTTCAGAATTAACTCCTTGCATGTCTAGGTAAAAAGAATTCACAGATAAAAACAATGAAAAATCTCTAGAGACGAAAGACATCTGCTGCTTGTCTGAGTAAGTAGTCCTGGTTCATTGAATCACTATAAAATTGTTTTGTAGGTTATGTGTGTTATGGCTTGTATATTTCAAAGTAAAAATGGCATTTCTGACTAACTGGTTTATGCATAACAATACACTAACTCATTTTCACGGGTATCACATAAAAATACTGCAAAATAGTTTGTACACATTGCATCCTTTGTCTCATCCTATGGTATATTATATATCAGTAGTTCTGTTAAATTCTGAGGAGAAAATAATTATAGTCAAGAAAAGAATTGTATTTTGTAGTTGCATATCCCACTAAGGCATGATATGTCAATGACTCAATAGCCAGGATCACATATAATGCTATGCAATAAATATGGTTTACAAATCAGAATCAGAAAGTGTACCCTTTGTTTCAAGCCCAAACTAAATGAAATACATAATTACTGGGTTTGTATTATGAGTTCATATTATGTTATATTAAGGTTTGTGGTAAAAATATTTTCTCAATAAGCTGGGATTTGTTTAAATCAACATAAGCAAAACCTAAATAAACTAATATGGTTTTATGCGATATGTGAAACCTGACTATGGACTAAAACTGCATAACCACACAGGCAGTAGTCCGTATAATACTGCTGACTGAAATTATCATCCTCCTAATTTGAGATTTTGTAGAACATGGAAATTGCAGAACAGAAAGGCAATTCCTTACAAATAAAGAGCATTCCAAGCATGCAAAAAGACACTGAATGCTTTGTAATTTACCAACAGCAAAATCCCCTTTGAATGAAACATCTCTTGATGACTTTGCAGTTTTCTTCCAATACTATTTTATCACTGTTTTATATCGGGAATTCATTTCTGAGTTTTCAAACTAGCCTCCAGCACCTTATAGGCAGAACAAAGCTTACAATGAAAATATTGGATCCCAAGTTGATGCAGTCTGTACCTAATGTTGGAAATTGTGTGTGCCTGGATGGGGAGGATCAGATTTAGGCTCAATCCAGGCAAGACTGAGAGGCTTTGTTATAGTTTAGCCCTTCTGGTTCCAGGGAGCTTTCATCTGTAGTAGTCCTTTAGCAGAGTTGCAGTACCACATGTAAGCTGTTGTACACTCTGGGGATCATCTTGGATTCTTAGTTCCTTCTCAAAGAGCAAGAGGGAAACTGTGGCCAATTGCTCAGATTCAACTTGTGTACCTCTTGTGCCCATTCCCATTCTGGAGGGTCTTCAGCAGTCATTCAGACTTTGATAACCTCTTCATTGGATTACTTTAATACAATTCTACAAGGGACTGCTTTTGAAGACCACTTGGAAGCTACAAAATGCATCAGCATGGGCAGCACATTGTAGTATGGACACTTGCCCCTGCTGCTTTGTGAACTGCACCGTTGCCAGTTGGCTTCCAGGTGCAATTAAAAGCACTCATTCTGAGCTATAAAGTTCCTGCATGGCACAGAGCCTACTTACTTGAAGAACTGCTTGTCTCCATATATGCTGTCTGGTCATGTCAACTGGAGTGGGCATATTCCAGGTCCCTTATATTAAGTAGTGACACACACACATTTCTGGAGTATTCTTTTTCTTCTTGATAGACTCTGTTTTCTTTTAATTTTTATCTGTAGGCTGCCCAGAATTGTTATAGAATTAAGTGGCCTCAAACTTTAAAGAATAAAAATATGAGAATATAGAAAAAAACTGCTTTCATGGATTCATTGTAACAGGAAGTTTTTATGTAACGAGAGTAGCGATTGTCAGTAGATCTTTGCTTCAGCTGTGGGGACATGTGATCTGATGGTAGATTCTTGTCTAAAATTCATGCACATTTTTAAGTGTTTTAATTCTTCTACATACCTTTACCTAAACACATCTAATTTTGGAAGAGATGAGTCAGACCAATGAACTACAAAGATCTGGCAGTGTTCCAACCATCAGAGTTTTATTTCCTCTCATCACAACAGCAGTTAGCAAATGCTGCAGGAAATTCAGAGATTAACTCAGCCATGTTGCCACAGTGCTTGCAATACTACATTTTTGAATTCTTGATTGCAGCCTTCAACATTATCTGAAGCATAACAGGATTAACCCAATAGCCTTGTACTGCCCAACACGCTGAACCCTAAATTGATCATACTGCTTCAATCCACCCTGGAGTATATATGTTGGATTACTTTGTAGTTCACTAGATTTGCTCACAAGGCATACTCTTTAAGCAATCAAATTTTAGTCCAAGAACTCCTACCCAAATGGTGACCTGACAATCAATGCATCCTGTTAAGTTGAAAAAAACATGAAAGTTAATTTAACTGTGATCAGTTGTCCCTTGAGAATCATGCAGAAACTAGGAGGGAAGTCTAAATTACTGTAATGCAGAAATCATGAGGGACACAGAGGTGGTATTCAGTTCTGGAGAACCGGTAGCGGAAATTTTGAGTAGTTCAGAGAACCGGCAAATACCACCTCTGACTGGAGATTTTACAGTATTCTTCCCCTGCCATGCCCACCAAGCCATGACCACAGAACTGGTAGTAAAAAAAATTGAATCCCACCACTGGAGGAACAAGCCATATTACAGCTCTTCCAACATACATAAGCAAAATTTGTCTTTCTAAAGGCAGGACTGAGGAAATTGAAACTCTACAATAAGTGAATTATGCCCTGTATTTCCACTCTACCCAGGAGGTAGGTAGGCATCTGGCTGCATGCGTATGCTTCCAATGCTTAGTGGCTTTCAAAACAGGAAAGATAGGCAGGAAAGCCCAGCAAGGCTTCTGCACTTGCTCCACTTTCTTCCCCTCCCTCCCCAGCTGAGCACCTCCCATAGAGGAAAAGAAGAAACTGTGCTATGTCTCACTTTGAAATTGTGCAAGGCTAAGGTGGGAGGAAGGGGGAGAAGAAAGGAATCTAGGGAAGAAAAAAGGTGTGATGCTCTCAAGATTAGATTAGAAAGGCGAGCAGACAGGTAGACATGGAAACTGGTCTCTCCCTTCGCCCAAGGCCTTCTCTTTTTCTCCTTCCAGGCAGCAACTACGTCAGAAAGTTGTTGGAGCCACTTGCAAAATTCCCATCTTGGCAATCTGCCTACATTAAAGGTAGCTCTGTGATTGCACTGATATGCCAATTTCCGTGTCTCCAGTCAGCCTAATGTCCTGTCTCTCCCCCAACCTTACTTTTTCTCCTCCTTTTCCCAACCTCCCCCAATAAATTCAATAATCTTAAAATGCAAAGGTGTGCATTTAAATGAAAACCCTATAAAGGATAGCAGTTCAGCCACATCTTCTGTGGAGACAATGTGACCAAGGTATGTGACAGATGGTTGCTAAAATTGGCATTTCTTCAAGACCCTTCTTCATGGAGCCTGGTAAGAACCTTCTCCAGGTGCTCATGTTTTTCAAGAGTGTCAACAAAAACAATGATATTGTTTAGGTACACTAACACCTCTATCAAATTCATGTCTCCTACCATCCACTCCATAAGTTGCTGAAAGGTTGCCGGGGCCCCTGATAATCCTTGAGGCATCCGATTTAATTCATAGAGCCCCAAGGGGCAGATGAAAGCAGTTTTCTCTTTTATCATCTTGGATCCATGGGAATCTGGTGGTAGCCATTTCTAGATCCAGCACAGTAAACCACCTTGTCCCAATAAGCAACGTAAGGGGTCTTTAATTTGGGGATAGTGTACTGATCTGGAATGGTCCTCCTATTGAAGGTATGGTAATCTATGCACATTCTATGCTGAAGGACCCATTCTTCTTCTGGACTTCTACTATGGGAGAGTTGTAGGGGCTCTGAGATTCTCTGTTGCTCTTCAATTCTGTTAGATGTTCTCTGAGGTTTTTAAATCACTTAAGGGAATCTGTCAAGACCTCCCTCGGAAAGGCTTATCTTCCTGATTCAAGCCCTTGCATATGTAACCCCTCACTAAGGGAGCTCTCATCACTCCTATTACTGAGACCCCTTTGTAGTTTCCTGACTGGGCTGGATTTCATGGTTGGTGCAGCTTTGTACAAGTATGCATGCAGCCCCACAGCTATAACAGATCCCTGGCCTCACCAGCTTCTCAGCTGAAGCGGAAGAGCCCATCCCTCCACCAATCAGCCCAGTGGGCCTCCATTCAAGGGCAAACCGCCCAAGACCATCATCTCTGTTAAGAGATGTTTTGGCTTCCATAGGGGTGAGCCAGGCATCATCGCAGCCCGTTTTCCTCATTCCCACACGTGGAGGCCATTCCAGTGGCAAATCGGCTGTGGCCTCTTTGGCTTCGTCCATCACTTCTGTTGCCCTTACAGTCTTTATGAGCTCATAATAACTCAGGAAATGCCCTGTGGTCAGCATCTTTAGCTGATTCCAGACTGGGTCTGAGAATAAAGCCTCCCATGAAAGCTGTTCTACCTTCACTTGCCTGGGTCATCTGGACTCTGCTCTCCTGTCATTCCAGCTGGTTTCTTGTGCAGTCTCCTGTCCAGCAGGTGGCTCACACGATGGGGTGGTGGTCAGTCCCCTCCCAGCAGGTGGATCATGCAGTAAGGTGGTGATCAGACAGCTGGTCTCTCTCTCTCTCTCTCTCTCTCCATCCTTCCTTCCCTCTTTCTCCTTGCTTATCTCTACTTCCACAGCTTCTGCTCCTTCATTGATTCCTCTGCTTATCTCCCTTTCTCCCAGTCTCTCTAGTTTTCCTTCCGCCTCCTCTTCCTTCCCTTTCTCCACCTTTCCCGCAGGCTTGCCCCACTGAAGCCTCCCTTTCTCCTATTGCCTTCTCTCCCTCCGTCCGTCGCTTTCCTTTTTCTTTCCCGCCAAAACCTCTCCCTTTTCAAACCCCTTCTCCCCGCCTCTTCCTCTTTTCTTCCGGGCGCGCCGCCTTCTGGGGCTCCGGCAGAGCTCCAGCTCTGCTCAGTAGCTGCCCTAAGTAGAACCACCCGTACCTTGGGTAGCCTTCGCCGGTAGCGCCGATCAGCTGGAGCCGAGCGCTGCAGATCCCGAGGCCTCAGCAGAGGCTCCGGCAGCGCCCCAACTCCAGCTGACTCCTCCCAAGGCCCGTGTGCTGCTGCCGCTGCCGCTGCCGCCGGCGACGGTGGAGGCCGGCGGAACTCCAGCTGAGCTTCATACCCAGCACCGATCAGCTGGAGCTGCGAGAGCAGACCCAGCTCCAGCTCATCCCTCAGCAACTTGTATATTTTGACCTCAACTCTTAAATTCCTAAAAGCTGGTGAGTACTAGGTATTAGGGAACCTGAACCCCAAAAAATCTGAAAGGCAGATTGAGCAAGATTGCTATGGAGATAGTAGAAATCAACATCTGGTATATCCTGTATACCTTTGGTGGGCGGGAATAGGCTCGCTACAATCTATAATACTGTACTAATTGCAGAAACCTAAATATTAACCTAATGCCCATAAACACCGTGGAATTACGACATTTTGCTTAAATAAGTTTCATGTACTTTAATTATTCAAGGGCAACGTGCCTTTTGGTTCCAGTAAAGGAAAGAGAGTCTTTTAATGCTGGTCTCATGTTTCTGGGCTTGTAATCCAGTGATGGTTTACCTATCCCCATTACTGTAAATGTGCAGCTGGAGATTAAAAACTTATTATAAACTTCATTTTTGTGTAAGTTTATTTTATTGATTGAATACTGCATTTATCATTTCCACTGCCTTTTTAATGTTTCTAATATTTTATGGTTGATCTGTATTTATATAAGAGGACTTGATAAGGACTTGATCTTAAAAGGCAATCCTAAATATTTTAATTAATTGAATCAATGTAATGGGAACAATTGAATATTCTGAAAATAAATTGGCTATGATAGTAAAGATGAAAAAGTCTGGATAATGCACATGGCAGTATCTGGAGAAGGTACTGCAAATAAAAGTAGGATTGTGGCAAGACAAAGCAAAGATAGTATCAACAATAATAGGTGCTTGGGTGCAGTTCCAAAACACCTGAAGCAGACTTCAACACTGGCATTAACAAAATCACCATTAGTTAATTTCAAAAGACAGCTTTACTTGGAAGAGCTCACCTCCTGTGACACCTTTAATAACATCAAACAATACCTCCCTATCCCAGGTCCTTAGGAAGGATTCAGTAGGTGGATAAAAATGCCAAATGCAGTCTAAACATTTGGCTGACTACAACTAACCATAATATTGATATAAGCATGGTCTGACATGAAGAAAAACCAAGAACCCTTGCTGAAGAAATTAGTGAGGGAAAAAAAAACTCTTGAAATCAGCAAAGGTGAAGGTTAAATATAGAAAAGAAATGAAAACCAATTTGTTAATTGGAAGAACAGGCCAATGTATGGTCAATACTTGAAGGCTGAGGAGGAAAAGCTGATATAAAACTCACATGAAGTTGGTTAGAATTAAGTATTAAATAAAGAAACTGAAGACTTTATTTTGGCAGCTCAACAACAAGCTTTGCCAATTAGTTGTGTGGTCAAAATTCAACATGTAACAAACAACAGCAAATGTTACCTTTGTAGTAAAAAGGATGAAATTATTGACTGATCAGTGGCTGTAGCAAAATTTTACAAACTGACTGCAAGCAGTGTTATTACTAAATTGCCAGAATTGCTATTGGAAACTTTGCCAGAGGTTTGGACTGGGAACCTCAAATTAAGCAAGTTTTAAATATGAGCCAGTTAAGATCTAATGGGACTTTAAGATCCAAACAGAGAGGTATTTTCTTCATGTTAATATGTCTGATATAACAATTGAAAAGAAATGAATCTTATTTATTGATGTTTCTATTCTGGATGATTCTAAGATTAAGAAAAACAGTTGGAAAAAATTACAAAATATTGGGACTTTGGACTGAAGTTGACACAAGAAAAAAAATCATTGTTACACCAGACTTGGCACCCGCGGGGCAATTCCTAAAAGATGTCCTTGATATTTGGAAATTCATCGAATCTGAACATCATAATGTGGAAAAAAAAAACCTCACCATGTTTGGAACTGTCGATATTCTTAGATGCTATTTAATAATTTTTAATTCCTTGGTTAGGTTTACAGTGGTCTTAGACTGTGATTCTAGATTTAGATTACCTGCATGTAATATATACTCCATTAGGCATTTAGCTATCTTTTGCCACAGTTTGCAGTCTGATGCAGGCAACAAAAAGACTGATTATAAACTATCATAAATAACCCAATGATGAATTGCAAGTTCAGCAGACTCTGCAGAGTGCAACCAGTTTTGAAAAGTTATAATAAAGTTATAGTTTTGTAACATAAACTACAAAATTTAATTGTTATTTTTGATGTGAATATTTTGTACTTTTTTAGCCTGATGCTAGTTGCCCAAGTTGTACCTAATTTTCTTGATTTATTAATTATATTATTATTAATAATTATATAAATAAATAAATGCTAGTTCAAAAGTTGTTCATCTGTAATTTTATTAAAATATAATTATTTTATGAACTAACTAATAAAATTCTTAATTTTTTCAAAGATTTCAGCACATGGAAATTGAATTGTTCATAGGTTTCCAGGTTTATAAGTTGATCTGTTGTAACTGTTGCATATGCTTATTTACTAAAACAATCTTCCTTTTAGTTGTCTGTGAAAAATATATCACCTGCACTCCAGCAAAGTTAACTACTGTTTTGTATCTGTTCATAGTAGTGAAAGACCTAGTAATAATTGATAAAGTCCAAACTCTGGAATATGGAATTCACAATAATCTGGGATAATGACAATATTTGTTAATAATTCTCCTTAAAAATAAGACAATTGGGATTTTTGCTATATCAAGCTCACTCAAATCGGCACTCTAGTCCTTAAGGTCCCTTGCCTATTCAATCTGTTTTCATTTTGGTAAAGCAAATGGTTAAGCTAGGTTGGAGTACTAGGAAAAATACACATTTTTATTGCAAAGTAAAGAACACTGAAATACATTTTTCTGATTAGTAAGAAAGTAGTACCTATGTTTAATTGGCGCAAAAGCTAAACATGGAAAAGTTCCTTCTTTTTAAATAGTTTTCCAGACTCATGTACAGAAATGTATTACTTCAAAAGTGTTTCCTAACTTGGTACCCTTCAGATGCCCTTCTGTAGCAAAGTGATTAGGCACGAGTCCAATCCCTACGGTATGTTGTTGAATTTTCTATTTTTCTCTCTTTCCTTTCCTTTGGGAGATAGGTAATATGTTCAGAGTTCCCAGTTTCTGCCAATGCTAACACTTTTATTTCTTGACAGATGTCACTTAACTTGGTTGATGCAGATTTCTTTTTGGAAGAGAATAAATTCAAGCAATATTGTACAGAATTTCTCCAATATTCACAAAGAATTGGGGATGATTGGCAATGGAGAAGCATAAAGGTAATGTCAAACTTCAAGTCTTAAGCTATCTATAATAAAGTCTTCCTAAGAATAGTTGTTACTATGTTATGATTTATTGTACTTTGATATTTATACTAAGATAAAAGATCCAAATTTATGTAATTTGATTTCTGAAAGCTAATAAGATGTCTGTCTAATTTTAGTTCTTACTTGTGGTTCTTTTTTAAGTTTTGTGATTCTTTTTGTATTTTCCTTAAAACTTTAATGTATTTAATTTCAATATTAATTTGAAATCAAAAGTATAAATACAAATGACAGGGCTAGGATACTTTCAATAAAATATAAAACAACAAAACAAAATAGACATTGACAATTAGGTATTCTTTATAAATATTTTAAACTTGCTTTTGAAAAGCTGAAAATTATAAAAATAACCAGTACAATTTTCTCTTAGGTTACATTTTTTACAATGGCATTTATTGTTAAAGCAATTAACTGGATTAACTGGATTAATTTTATCCCTTAGATTCTCTTCCAGTTAACAAAAGCTTCCTTTCCTTTTTACCTAGAGAAGTAATTTTTTTCTTTAAAACAAACAAAATTCTACAATTAAATTATAGGACACCTAAAAATCTCAATAAAAGCAAAAAAAAAAGAATTTAAAACTATTTAAATATATACGTAGAAATTGCTTGCTTGAAGAAGAATATTTTTTGTTTACAAATCACTAAGGACAGGGCTTTTTCTTTTTAAGAGAGATGGATTTCTTTGAACACTGTAAGTTTTTCTTTTGTGAAATGTTTGATGATGTTTACTTATAACTACGGAAGCCTTGTTGACAACCATTTTGGGAATGGATATAGACATATTGCTTGCATATAGAACAAATGACCCAAAGATTGGAAAGCACTGCTTTAATTGTTGCTTTAATCCTGTCTGTTTTACTATGATTCTTCTATCAGTGCTCTACTCTGCTGATACTGAAATTTCTTTATCATAAATGTAATACAAATATGATAAGTACATGTTTTGCATTGAGAAGCTCCTAGATTTAATTTGTAGCATTTGAAGATAGAATAGGGAAAAATGCTTTTCTGAATTCATGGAGAGTTGCAGCCAGGCAGTGAACTACATTAGATGCACCAGTGGTCTGATTTTACAGAGGATACTCATGTTTGTTTTTGTAGTTGTATTTCAGTTCCAGGACTTTGAGCATAAGTACTGTTGGAAGAGGGATGGGACATTTAGATACATATGGACACCTATAGTGTTCTCTATAAATGCAGTGATAGATAATTTTTTTGTAATACTGTATATGCAATGGCTTTAACAAACTATAGAGACATTTCTGTAATCATTTTTGTAAAGTTTTTTTTTTAAGTTTGTGCTTCCTCATTAATTCATACAAGATGGTTTATCACAACTTTGGTATTCTTGCTATTATCAGTGCTTTCACTTTTTGACTTTCCTTTTAGTCTCCAGAGAAAAAGATAAAGGTGGAAAAACAACTCCCCCCCCCCGAGTTCTTTGGAATTCAATTTTTTTTGTCAAGCTGTCCTTCTTGCTTTATCTAAATGCTGTATTTTTTCCACCAGCCACCCCTTTCCACAGATATTTTGTTCAGATTGTACTTGCTTTTCAGCTACAGATTCCTCTTCCACATATGTCTGGATTCCCACAATGTGTCAAGTCCACCTAGCATACATTCAGTACGGAAGAGTCCAGCAATCCTCAACGTTGAGAATTCTACCATTGCCTAATCCTTCTGCCTGTTATCTATATATTTTTAAACATGTGGTGTGTCTGTTCTCAGGTATTTTAATTGGATATGAAGCTTCTAGATGTCTAATATAACAGTTGAGTTGGCACTGACAAGGAAAAAAAAATTACACCTAGACCATTTTATATTATGCCATGTCCATCAGGGCATCTTCTCCTACCACAAATGTACACTGCATAAAAAAATAAAGGGTACACTTAAACAACACAATGTAACTCCAAGTCAATCATACTTCTGTGAAACCAAACTGTCCACTTAGGTAGCAACACTGATTGACAATCAATTTCACATGCTATTGTGCAAATGGAATAGGCAACAGGTGGAAAGCATAGGCAGTTAGCAAGACAGGAGTGGTTCTGCAGGTAGTGACCACAGACCACTTCTCAGTTCCTATGCTTCCTGGCTGATGGTTTGGTCACTTTTGAATGCTGGTGGTGCTTTCACTCTAGTGGTAGCATGAGACGGAGTCTACAACCCACACAAGTGGCTCAGGTAGTGCAGCGCATCCAGGATGGCACATCAGTACGAGCTGTGGCAAGGAGGTTTGCTGTGTCTGTCAGCGTAGTGTCCAGAGCATGGAGGCGCTACCAGGAGAGAGGCCAGTACATCAGGAGACGTGGAGGAGGCCATAGGAGGGCAACAACCCAGCATCAGGACCGCTACCTCCACCTTTGTGCAAGGAGGGACAGGAGGAGCACTGCCAGAGCCCTGCAAAATGACCTCCAGCAGACCACAAATGTGCATGTGGCTGCTCAAACAGTCAGAAACAGACTCCATGAGGGTGGTATGAGGGCCCAACATCCACAGGTGGGGGTTGTGCTTACAGCCCAACACCGTGCAGGACGTTTGGCATTTGCCAGAGAACACCAAGATTGGCAAATTCGCCACTGGCACACTGTGCTCTTCACAGATGAAAGCAGGTTCACACTGAGCACGTGACAGGGTCTGTAGATGCCGTGGAGAACGTTCTGCTGCCTGCAACATCCTCCAGCATGACCGGTTTGGCAGTGGGTCAGTAATGGTATGGGGTGGCATTTCTTTAGGGGGCCACACAGCCCTCCATGTGCTCGCCAGAAGTAGCCTGACTGCCATTAGGTACCAAGATGAGATCCTCAGACCCCTTGTGAGACCATATGCTGGTGTGGTTGGCCCTGGGTTCCTCCTAATGCATGACAATGCTAGACTTCATGTGGCTGGAGTGTGTCAGCAGTTCCTGCAAGACGAAGGCATTGATGCTATGGACTGGCCCGCCCGTTCCCCAGACCTGAATCCAATTGACCACATCTGGGACATCATGTCTCGCTCCATCCACCAACGCCACATTGCACCACAGACTGTCCAGGAGTTGGGGGATGCTTTAGTGCAGGTGTGGGAGGAGATCCCTTAGAAGACCATCCGCCACCTCATCAGGAGCATGCCCAGGCATTCTAGGGAGGTCATACAGGCACGTGGAGGCCACATACACTACTGAGCCTCATTTTGACTTGTTTTAAGGACATTACATCAAAGTTGGATCAGCCTGTAGTGTTTTTTTCCACTTTAATTTTGAGTGTAACTCCAAATCCAGACCTCCATCGGTTGTAAATTTGATTTCCATTGATAATTTTTGTGTGATTTTGTTGTCAGCACATTCAACTATGTAATAAACAAAGTATTTAATAAGAATATTTCATTCATTCAGATCTAGGATGTCTTATTTTTGTGTTCCCTTTATTTTTTTGAGCAGTGTATTTATGTTCCCACTAAAACCTAATGA